CTTAATTCCTTTTTGTGGCGGAATAGTAAATGTTTCATTGTGGAGATACGCCACATTTTATTTATCCAAATGGTGGACATTTGGTTGTCTTCGCCTTTGGCTGTTAAAAATAGTGTTGCTGTGAACATTCATGCGCAAGTTTTTGCATGAGTTTATTTTATTTTATTTTATTTTATTTTATAGTGAACCTGGGAGTGGTTTTGCTAGGTCAAATGATAATGAATGTGTTTAACATTTTGAGGGGCTGCAAAACTGTTTTCCTAAGTGACTGCATTATTTTGTATTCCTGTTTAGCCAGTTCCCATCTTGCTGTTATCCATGCGTTTTTATCGTAGTTAGCCTAGTGAGTGTGAAGTGTTGTTTGGTTGTGTCTTTGCTTTTCTTTTTTTAAATTTTTTAATGTTTTTAAAATTTTAACCTTTAAGTTCTGGGATACATGTGCAGAATGTGTAGGTTTGTTACATAGGTATACATGTGCTGTGGTGGTTTGCTGCACCTGTCAACCCATCATCTAGGTTTTGAGCCCTGCATGCATTAGGTATTGGTCCTAATACCCTCCCTTCCCTTGCGCCTCACCTCCCGACAGGCATGTGACGTTCCCCTCCCTGTGTCCATGTGTTCTCATTGTTCATCTCCCACTTATGAGTGAGAACATGTAGTGTTTGGTTTTCTGTTTCTGTGTTGGTTTGTAGAGGAAGATGGTTTCCAGCTCCATCCATGTCCCTGCAAAGGACATGAACTTATTTTTTACGGCTGCATAGTATTCCATAGTAGATATGTGCCACATATTCTTTATTCAGTCTATCATTGATGGGCATTTGGGTTGATTCCAAGTCTTTGCTTGTAAATAGTGCTGCAATAACATAGATGTGCATGTGTCTTTATAGGAGAATGATTTATAATCCTTTAGGTATATACCCAGTAATGGGATTGCTGGGTCAAACGGTATTTCTGGTTCTAGATCCTTGAGGAATCACCACACTGTCTTCTACAATGGTGTGTCTTCAATTTTCATTTCTTAAAAATGACATTCAGAATTGTATTTTGCTAATAGCAAATGATGTCAAATGTCTTTTTCTTGTGATTATTGGGTATCTTCATTGAATCAAAATTGGCATATTTTCATTGGAAAAATGTCTGTTTTAGATACTTTGCCTGTTTTATTAGTAAAATTTGGACTATCGTTGGCAGAATTTTGAAAGTTCTTATTTATCTATCTAATCTAGATGAGGTTTCACTATATTGCCCAGGCCGGCAATTGAACTCCTTTGGCCTCAAGTGATTCTCCTGCCTCAGCCTCCCAAAATGCTGGGATTACATGTGTGAGCCACTGTGCCTGGCCGGTAACAATTTTTTTTTTTTTTTTTTTGAGACGGAGTTTCACTCATGTTACCCAGGGTGGAGGGCAATGGTGCGATCTCGGCTCACCGCAACCTCTGCCTCCTGGGTTCAGGCAGTTCCGCTGCCTCAGCCTCCTGAGTAGCTGGGATTATAGGCACGCACCACCATGCCCAGCTAATTTTTTGTATTTTTAGTAGAGACGGGGTTTCACCATGTTGACCAGGATGGTCTCGATCTCCTGGCCTCGTGATCCACCCGCCTCGGCCTCCCACAGTGCTGGGATTACAGGCTTGAGCCACCGCCCCCGGTCAACAATTATTTTTATTCCAGAGAAACGTTCTTTATCAGATATATGATTGATTTACAAGTACTTTCTACCCAGTCTGTGGGTTGTCTTTTTTATTTTCTTGATAGTATTGCTTGCAGCACAAAAGTTTGTGGTTTTGCTAGGCACGATGGCTCACACCTGTAATCCCAGCTCTTTGGGAGGCTGAGGTAGGTAGATCACAAGGTCCAGAGATTGAGACCATCCTAACTAAGTCGGTGAAACCGTGTATTTTTAGTCTTTACTAAAAATACAAAGAATTAGCAGGGCGTGGTGGCACATGCCTGTAGTCTCAGCTACTCGAGAGGCTGAGGCTGGAGAATCACTTGAACCTGAAAGATGGAGGTTGCAGTGAGCCGAGATCGTGCTTCTACACTCCAGCCTTGGTGACAGAGCGAGACTTCGTCTCAGAAAAAAAAAATAAGTTTGTGGTTTAAATGAAGTCCAGCTTACCTGTTTTTTCTTTTGTTGCATGTGCTTTTGGAATTGTATTTAAGAAACCATTATCTAACCAAAGGTCTACTTTTTTTTTTTTTTTTTTTTTTTTTTTTTTTTGACAGGGTCTTGCTCAGTCACCAGAGCAGTGGTGCAATCCTAGCTCACTGCAGCCTGGAACTCCTAGGCTCAGGTGACTCTCTTGCCTCAGCCAAGTAGCTGGGACTACTGGCATGCACCAACACATCTGGCACACCTGGTTGTTGTTTTGTTTTTCTTGTTTTTTTTTTGGAGGCAGGGTCTCCTCTTTCTGTCACCCAGATTGGAGCTGTGGCATGATCATGGCTCACTGCAGCCTCAGGCTCAAGCAATCCTCCCACCTTAGCTTCTCCAGTAGCAGGGACTACAGACGTGCGCCAGCACATCCAGCTAATTGGTTTTTTTGTTTGTTTGTTTGTTTTTTGGAGGGACAGGGTTTTGCCATGTTGCCCAGGTTGGTCTTGAATTCCTGGGCCCAAGCAGTCTGCCTGCCCCGGTCTCCCAAAGTGCTGGGATTACAGGCGTGAGCCACCACCATGCCCAGCCTATTCCTATGTTTTCTTCTAAGAGTTTTATACTTTTAGTTTTTCTATTTGGATCAGTAATCATTTTGAGTTAATTTTTGTGTGTGGTATGAGAAAGGGGTTCAATTTCTTTTTTTGTTTTGTTTTGCTTGTGGCTATCCTTTTGTTTCCAACACTATTTGGTAAAAAGACTATTCTGACTCCATTGAGCTGATTTGGCATTCTTGTCGGAAATCAATTGACCCATAAATGTAAGAGTTTATTTCTGGGCTCTTAATTCAGTTCCGTTGGTCTTTGTTATCTGTTCTTTTGCTGGTACTACAATGTCTTAATTTTTGTGGCTTCATAGTAAGTTTTGAAATTGAGAAGGAAGTACTCTGGCTTTGTTTTTGTTTTTTTTAAAGATTGTTTGCCTATTCTGTGTTTCGTGTATTTCCATGTGAATTTTAGGATCAGCTTGTCAATTTGTTTCTTTTTTCTTTTTTTTTTTTAACAGTCCATCTGGGGTTTTTACAGGGATTGTGTTGAATCTATAGACCAGTTTGAGAAATATGAAATATCCCCATGTTAATTTTAGGCTGGGTACAGTGGCCCATGCCTAATATATTCTCAGCACTTTGAGAGGCCAAGGTGGAAAGATCACTTGAGGCCAGGAGTTTGAGACCGGCCTGATTAGCAAAGTGAGATCCTCTTCTCTATAAAAAGTAAAATAAGCCAGCCATGGTGGTGCACGTCTGTAGTCCCAGCCAGTCAAGAGGCTGAGGTGGATCAGTTGAGCCCAGGAGTTCGAGGCTGCAGTGATTGCACCACTGCACTTCAGCCAGGGTGACAGAGACCCTGTCTCTGAAAACTAAAAAAAATTTAAAATTTCAGATCTGTTCAGCTTGGATATTTTGTCCCTTCCAAATCCTGTGTTGAAATGTGATCCCCAGTGTTGGAGGTGAGGCCTGGTGGAGGGTGTTTGGGTCACAGGGAGGAATCCTTCAGGTATGCCTTGGTGCTGCTCTCACAGTAATGAGTTCTCACTCACTTTGTTCATGCAGGTCTCATTATTTAAACAATGTCTGGGACCTCCCCGTGCTCTCATACTCCCTCTGTCATGTCACATGCCTCTCTCCCTTCATCTTCTGCCATGAGTAGAAGCTTCCTGAGACCTCACCAGAAGCAGATACTGGCCCTATGCTTCTTCTACAGCCTGCAGAACCATGAGCTATTAACCTCTTTTCTTTATAAATGACCTGGCCTCAGACATTCCTTTACAGCAACACAAAATGGTCTAATACATGATTCATGAACATTAAATGTCTTTTCAGTTATTTATATTTCCCTTAATTTATTTCAATGATAAGTTTTTAGTGTGTACATACATTACTTTTGCTAAATTTATTTCTATGTATTTTATTTGGATACTGTTATAAATTAAATTTTTTTAAATTTCATTTGCTGATGACTCCCTGGTAGTATATAGATATGGTTGGTTTTTGTATATTGATTTTGTATCTGACAGGCTTGTTCAGCTTGTTTATTGGTTCTAAGAGCTTTTTAGTAGATTTGAGTTTTCTCTGTATAAGATCATGTCATCTGCAAATACAGGTCATGTTACTTCTTCTCCAGTCTGAATACTTTTTATTTCTCTTTTACCTTTTTTTGAGACGGGATCTCCCTTTGTCATCCAGGCTGGAGTGTAGTAGTGTGATCTCGGCTCACTGTAGCCTTGACCTTCTGAGCTCAAGAGATCCTCCCACCTCAGCCTCCCTAGTAGCTGGGACTTACAGGCGTGTGCCACCACACCCAGCAAATTTTTTGTTTTTTTGTAGAATAGGGGTCATGTTGTACAGACTAGTCTCGAACTCCTAGGGTCAAGCCATCCTCCCACCTTGGCCTCCCAGAGTGCTAGGATTATAGGCATGAGCCACCATGCCCAGCCTTATTTCTTTTTCTTGTTGTAATTGACCTGGCTAGAACTTTCAGTAAAATATGGAATAGAAGTAGTTAGGGTATCAAGCTCTTTTGCTGTGAAAAACAATTAAAATAGTAGTGAGGGTGGACATACCTGTCTTGTTCCTTATCTTAGGAGGAAAGCATTTAGTCGTCACCATTAAGTGATGATGTTGGCTGTGGGTTTATCAATAGTGTCTTTTTTTTTTTTTTTTATTTCTGAGACGAAGTCTCACTCTGTCTCCCAGGCTGGAGTGCAGTGGCATGATCTCAGCTCGCTGCAACCTCTGCTTCCCAGATTCAAGCAATTCTGCCTCAGCCTCCCAAGTAGCTGGGACTACAGGTGCGCTCCACCATACCTGGCTAATTTTTATATTTTAAGTAGAGATGGGGTTTCACCATATTGGCCAGGCTGGTCTTGAACTCCTGACCTTGTGATCCACCCGCCTTGGCCTCCCAAAGTGCTGGGATTGCAGGCATGAGCCACTGCACCTGGCCCGTAGTGTCTTTTTAAGAGCCAAGCACTTTAATTTTGATGAAGCCCAGTTTATCAATTTTTTTCTTGTGTGATTTAATTTTTTAAATTTCATTAGTGCATCTTGATATGTTAATTTTCATATTGTTTCATTTCATTATAATACCTTCGTTAGTTATATGGGATTTTACTGTGTTAATTTTAACCTTTAAAGTGAAAAGACTGTTGATTATTGGAAAGCAATTTTTATGTTCTGAGAAAACTTTGCCTACCCAAAGATTACAAAGATTTTTCGTGTGTGTGTGTGTGTGTGTGCACGTGCGTGTGTGTGTGTGTTTAGAAGTTTTATAGTTTTAGCTTTTAAATTTAGGTCTCTTCATTTCTGTTGACAAATCAGTCTTTAAATGCATATGGGAGAGTTGGAGGGCAGAGGTATTTATCCCTCTCGTTTCTTGGTAATGAGTAAATTGGTGAAAATAACTACATGTACCCCTGTAGTCTTGCTTTGTACTGGTTTTGCATTTGATAGTCTGCCAGTGCTCTCAGAAAATCCAGGTGGTGGCTTTTCAGGGATACCACCCAGTGACCATCTATGGTGGTCATATGTTATTTGTTCACCTAAAATCCCCCTGGAGTACCAGTGCTCCTCATTTTATAATAATTCGTTTCATCCATGTGGTTCAAGTGGGTCTTCTTTTACTCTCCAGTGGTGATACATGACCCAACCCAGCCCATCAGAATGCTTTATCATGGTTGAGCGCGATGGATCACCTGAGGTCAGGAGTTTGAGACCAGTCTGGCCAAAATGGTAAAAACCCCATCTCTACTAAAAATGGAAAAATGAGTTGGGTATAAGTCACACATGCCCGTAGTCCCAGTTACTCAGGAGGCTGAGGCAGGAGAATTGCTTGAACCTAGGAGGCAGTTCAGTGAGCCAGAATCATGCTACTGCACTCCAGCCCGGGCAGCAGAGAGAGACTCAGTCCTAAAAAAAAAAAAAAAAGATTTATTCTTCTACCCACAGTGATTGGTTCAGAGAGGGCATTTGACATAATCTGAACTGATGAGACATATAGCAAAAATATTCAGAAGGGATGTTTTTAAAGGTTACCTCTTTTCCCGAGGTATCTTATCTTTTCCAAGCTATCCTGTGTGGAGAGCTGGTCTCAAATTGAAGTCAACCCAAAATTGAGGGGTTAGTGAGAAAAGTCTTAATGACACTGTCTGTCCCTTCAGGTCCATCCTTGGCCTGAAGCCCTCTCGTGGCCTTTTGATTATGTGGGCCAATCAGATTATCTTTTGGCCCAGGCTCTTTTTAGTTAGGTATCTGCATTGTAACAGAAAAAGTCCTAACTAGTAAGCTATTAGTCTTCCTGAATAAATTTTTAATATGTTGGAGTTACAAATATGTTAGGCTCTGTTTTATTAATAGACCGTAAAAGGACAATAACTTTTGTATGTGCTATTGGAAGCAGCAGCTCCTTGTGGCTTTCACAAAAGCTACAAAATTCCGTTAAATACCTAGGATCATTATACTACTTTTGTGGAAAATTGAATTTAAGTCCTAACGTTACATGAGAATTCACTGAGAAGCATGTCTTTAAATGTCTCCTTTTAATGAAAATATAGATTAATTATTTATTTGACCAACTTGTTGGTATTTTATGGGAGAATTCAGTGCGTTCAGAAGGCAGATTATGAAGGCAGATCGTCCACTGACAGGTTAGGATTCTCAAGTGTAATTTTTATTACTTCAGAGTTGTAATTATTTTTGTGAGACAGTATCTTTTAATTAAAATGAGAAATATTTTTCAACTTAAAGATTCAGCTCATTCCAGGGATGTGTTCAATACAGAAATATAAAGTTCATTATGTAGTGGTGAAATTAAAACATATTGAAAGCAATCTTTGGGTTTAAATAGGTAGATCTCAAAAGTGTCTTTTTCCTTCTTACTTGGTTAACTAAGGGATACAAATATGTAACCTTCTCTAGGAAACACTTCCACCATTCTTACTAGTTTTTAATTTTTTAATTTTATTAAATTAGTGCATCTTGATATGTTAATTTTCATATTGTTTCATTTCATTATAATACCTTCATTAGTTGTTATATGGGATTTACTATGTTGATTTTAACCTTTAAAGTGAGAAGACTGTTGATTCTTGGAAAGCAAAAATGTAGCTTTAGATTTTTGTGACAGCTGTTATTAATACACAGTTAAGCAGTCATTATTTCTTGGGAAGAGTTAGCACTTGTTCCTTAAAAATAATTATATGCATAGAAATAGTGCTTTAGGGCTTAAACACACTTACATAGTTTATTTCCTCCAAGGTTGAGTGCGGTAAGGTATGGGATGTAGGATAACATTAGCTGTGTTTTCCAGATGAGGAAACCGAGGACTGAACTGGAATTTGCTTGCTGTTCAGATTTTTCGAGTTCCTTGTGTGGTTTCTTATATCATACTGTTAAGTGTACTTTGAAAGCTTTGAAAAGCAGTGTTGACCCTTTCTTAAAACAGATTTCAGGGGAGACAGACATTTAAAACAGTAGTCTTCTCTCCCTGTCTGGAGTATGGTTTGGAAGTCATTGCTTTGTAGTAAGGCATTGTTCTCCTAGTACGTTGCCAAGGACCAACAGTTGTTAAATCACCAAGCTAAGATTTTCTTCTAAATTTGTATCGCATTCTGACTTTGCTTTCTCCCTTCTGTCTCCCATTAATGCCCAGTAAAACCACCCTGGACCTCATGTACCTAAAGCCTTTCCTGAAATGTGTCTCTCTTTTCATACCAGCTCCAATGGGAGCTCCTATTGGATTTGTTTCTGGGCCCTGACAGATTAGCAGGGAAAGAAAGTGCTGTCGAAAAGTGAGAGGGGAGTTCAGAGGTTAGAGGGGAATCAGAAAATTAATGTTGTGATTGTCAAGAATGTTTCCAGAAGGCAGGGTTCATCAGTCCTTGACAAAAAGGCTGATGAAGAAAATGGGGTTGAGTGCAGTGGCTCACCCCTGTAATCCTAGCATTTTGGGAAACTCAGGTTGGAGGATCACTTAACTGCGGGATTTTGAGGTTGCAGTGAGTTTTGATCATGACACTGCACTCCGGCGTGGGTGACAGAGCTAGACTCTAGCTTTAAAGAAAAAGAAAAGAGAATAAGAAATGCTGCCGGCATGGTGGTACATGCCTGTAATCCCAGCACTTTGGGAGGCTGAGGCAGGTGGATCACGAGATCAGGAGTTCAAGACCAGCCTGGCCAACATGGTGAAACCCCCTCTCTATTTTAAAAAAAAAAAAAAAAAAAAGAAATGCCATTTAATTTTGAGCCTGGTAGGTCTTTGGTGACCTTTGAGACCAGTTTACGGTGGAATGTTGAGGTAGAGTAGGACTGAATCCCATGTAGAGGGGTTTGTGTGTATGTAGGAGAAGCAGCAGGAAGTTGGCACTGAAGGCAGGAGGAAGCTGGCCAGCAGCCGGGAGGGGTGGAGGTGTTCAGGAGTACGTTTTAGAGTCTGGTTGGGTTGTTGTTTTGTTTTTTTTTTCTCTTTCTGCATGGGAAAGTTTGAACTTTTTGTAATCAGGTGTTCTATTCATTGATAAAGTAAGAGAGGAATTAGATAAAGACCACATGCTTATCTTGAAAAGAAGCGCACATTTTTGTGAAATGAAGAGGAAGAGAGAAGTGAAAATAGAAATTGTCATGTAGGGAGAATTGAAGTTGAGGGAGCAAATGATACTAAGACAACTGAGAATGCTTGTAAAGATCACATTCAGTACTTTAAGATGTCATTTTCTAAAACATACACTCTTGGGTTGCCTGTCAGACTGGAGCTGTATGCCTGTCAAGTCACATTACACTGAATTTATTTAGGAAATGGTTTGACACATAGGAGTTTGACTTCTCCTGGCGCTTGTGAAGGACTCGTCTCTTGGTGTGGTGTGAGCCCAGTGACAGGCTTGTGGTTTTGAAGCTGTCTGTGGACAACTCCAAGACCTGTTGTGCTCTGCTGCTTTATGAACCTTCTGTGCTTATGGAAACGGTTCCCAGTGTATACTCCTCAGGAATGAGTCTTGAGTGACAGAAGTGCCACTAGGCTATAAGATGGTGGCAGTGACTTAGCTAGTCGTTTTGAGTCGGAGTCTCACTCTGTCGCCCAGCCTGGAGTACAGTGGCGCCATCTCGGCTCACTGCAACCTCTGCCTCCCAGGTTCAAGCAATTCTCCTGCCTCCACCCTCCCAAGTAGCTGGGACTACAGGCGTGCGCCACCACACCCGGGTAATTTTTGTATTTTTATTAGAGATGGGGTTTCACCATATTGGCTGGCTGACCTTAGTAGTCTTTCTTAAGAGGCTGGGAGCTTGAGGACAGTTGAGAGGTACTGGGCAAGCTAAACCTCGGACCCTTTCCCTGCAAAGCTCTGTGGCAAATACCACTCGGGGCTGTAGAAGCTGTTACCTACGGTGTAAATTCTGGATTTCAATGCAGAGAGCTTACATAGGGCTAGTAATTTATTTTGTCTTGCAAGGACATTGGAAAAAAGTCATCATTTACTGTTTTCAGCATTTCATAAAAGGGAGGATACTTTTTAATCACAAAATGTGAAGAACTTTATTATTATTAGTATTATTATTTGAGATGGAGTCTGGCTGTGTTGTCCAGGCAGGAGTGCAATGGCATGATCTCGGCTCACTGAAACCTCTGCCTCCTGGGTTCAAGCGTTTCTCCTGCCTCAGCTTCCCGAGTAGCTAGGATTACAGGCATGCAGTACCACGCCCAGCTAACTTTTGTGTTTTTCGTAGAGACAGGGTTTCGCCACGTTGACCAGGCCGGTCTCCAACTCCTGACCTCAGACGATCCACCCCCACCCCCCTCCCTGCCCCTTGGCCTCTCCAAGTGTTGGGATTACAGGTGTGAGCCACAGAGCCTGGCCAGGAACTTCATGAGAATGAAAGACAAACCTTTCTATTGAATAAATTAAAATGTATGGAAAAAATGTAATGCTTTCCCCTTATTCTTACCGCTCGTGTGAGAACCACTGACCTGCAGCACTGAAGCTCTTCATTTTGGGAAATTTGTCCTAAATACTTGTCCTCCCTCCTCCCCACTTTCTCACAAGTAGAAGAAAGGGAGCTTGAAAGCTGGCATACTCTGCTTACATGTGAGAGGGAGGAGGATTGCTATAGGAGATTTTTACACTGGGCCCATTTTTAAGCCACCCTCACTTGAGCTTGTATTCGCTCCGCTGTACCCATCCTCTGGCAGTTTACCTCATGTTAAATATCTCAGATTTTAATCATTTGTTGTTGGATACCCCCCACCCCCCAATTTATAAATGCTGATAGTTGTATGAGAGAAGGCGTTATTTTTACCATTTTTGTGTATCTTACTAGAATTTTACCATAGGCATTAAATGGAACTGATTCCTAGTCTAAACTTAGTACCAGTCACCTCACTAAACACTCTTGGCCAGACAGTATCTAGTGCCGTCTCTAGCTCAGCCTGCCTTTGCCTGAGACCAGACCCTTCTACTCTGCTACGGAAGCTGGTGGAGAGGAAGTGATGTTTAATCCTTCACCTACTTTTCATCTTCCCAGGGAGTAATGTGCCTGCAGCTGTCCTTTCACTCTGGTTAAACTCTTGCTTTCTTCTCCTCCTTAAGGGCGGTATGAGGCGTGGAAATTTTCCTCCGTCTCCAGTGCCTCTCCTCCTCACTCTCCACCTGAGCACAGGCCTCGTCTCCACATTACCTGCTCCCACCCTTGTGACTTTGATATCCACATAGATGACCCGTGTCTACCTGCTTACCCGGTTCTTCATCCAGAAACATTAGCCCAAATGAAGCTTGACTCACTTGAGCAACAGTTGGCCATGCCATAGCAGAGGATTGGCCTTTGTAATACAGAGATTAGAGTCCAGCCTTTGCAGTTAGTAGCTGAATGACCATAGGTTAAGGTTAATTACTTAAAGTCTCTGGGCCTCAGTTTCCTCTAATGCAAAATAGGGATGTCTCCAATATGGTAATCTGACGAATCTGCTGTGGCTTTGCTGTGCCCAGTTCATTGAGGGTGAACTGTCCTCCCTGATTTTTAAGGACCTTAATGATTTGGCCTCAACCTGTCTGTCTGTCCAGCAGGCAGAATTCTTTGGTACCAAGCAAAACTTGAACAAATAATAAGTCTGAGTAGGTATTTCTCTTGGTTTATTGCATTATTATAAAGCACATTAGGATTTATTTTATTTTGTGCTCTCGCTGTTTCATGCCTAACAGTCCCAACTGCGGGAACCACTGAAATGTTGATTGACTTTGTTTTGAAGAAGCAGTTCAGAAACGTGTCCTGTGTGCAGGTTTTGCACACAGCAGATGCATAAGGATGTCTCAAAGTGAGGGGTGGCTCTTCTGACATTGCTAAAGAAAGTCATTTTGCTGTACCAGACTGAAATTCAGAGCTCAGCCCTCCGCTGCTAGCTTGCTCTCACAGCTGTCTGCCCCTTGGTTTCTGGATGCTTTCACCTTGGCTGGATGAAGATGAACATTCTCACCCGATCGGGTTTCTGTGGGGTGGAGACTCTGCTGCTGCTACTGTTCCTTTAATACTGGTGACTGGACCTCACTAAGTGAGCTGGTTTCGCTAGACAAATCGTTAGCGCTCTGGTTGTATCTTTTTAGCAATGTTTTGGCTGGTGTGCTTCCTTGTGGCTTTGTGTGCCGCTCAGCATTAATGTAGGCACACGTTAACAAAACACTAAAATGACCAAACATCAGCAATGACTTCAGTTAACAAAATTCTGGAAGAGGCACACTTAGTAGTCAGAAATGGACTGTATTAAAGCGGCTGTCCTGTGAGTTCATCTTGATACTCACCTTACCTCGTGCTGATGTGGTGTTGAATGTGCCTTGCGTCTAAAGCTGTGGGCCCTGCCTCTGAGAAGCACAACCCAACCAAGCTATCATGTGAACTGACTAAAAGTATTCATTTTGCTTAAATGTGTTTCTTTCCCATATACTTACCCCTTTATTTGCTATAAGCCATAAACATTGAAATGGTGTTAAAGTCACATTTTATTTATTTGTAAATGACGACTTCACCAAATGCTACATGGCCACGTGTAGAATGATGCTTGGGATGTCTGTTTAACAATACCGCCGAGAGACATGGCACCGCCGGGAGACATGGCACCGCCGGGAGACATGGCACCGCCTGGAGACAGGGCAGACCAGAAAGAGACAGTTTGCTTTCCCTTCTGCTCCTTAAGGATAGAATGTAGACATCTTATTTGTGTGTGAGTTGATGCCTTCAGAGGATCTGTGGTTTATTGATAACTCTTTAGGATGGTTGCTATGAAGTAGTTATGATCTTCCCAGAGACAATTTTGTTTCCATTGCCAGCGCTCTTGCCCAGGTTTTTAGGCCTCCTTAGCCCCTTTTTATTAGGCTCTCTGCTTCAGTTATTGTAAGTAGCTTCTTGTTTCTGAATTGTTTGATGTGTTCGGTGTTTGGGGTTACTTATTTCTGAAGACAATGACTGTTTTTTTGTTACCTCACTCCTGATAGGGAAGGGGGAGGGGCAGTGCTGGGAGGAGAAGGGCGGGCCTGTGGCAAGGGCTCTACTCCCAGGCCTGTGCCCATGGACCTAGGTGAAGACAGGCACTCCTGCCTTCGCGCCCAAATGTTGCATTTCCCAAGACCACCCTGACCCACCATGCCCCCATTCTGTGCCTAGAAAAACCCCAAGACCCTAGCAGGCTGGACATGAGGGGAACACACCGGTGTAGGTGGAGTGACAGAGTTTGGCTGGGACAGTCAGAGAAGAGTTGGGCCACTAAGCGGCCAGACTCCAGGGGAAAACCTATTTCCCTTCTGGCTGCCCCATCTGCTGAGAGTTACTTCCACTCCTTAAACCTTGCACTCATTCTCCAGGTCCACGAGTAATCCGATTCTTCAGATACACCAAGGCAAGAACCCCAGATACAGAAAGCCCCCTGTCCTTGCAATAAGGCAGGGCTCTAATTGTGCTGGTTAACACAAGTGGCCTACGGACGGCTAAACTGTACGAGCACCCTGTAACACATACACTGGAGCTTCAGCTGGAAATATTCACCCCTAGACACTGCCATGGGGTGGGAGCCTCACCCT